TGGAATTGCGGATTCACTCCGTGACCTTAAACAATGGGAATCGCGGATTCGCTCCGTGAACTTAAACAATGGGAATCGCGGATTCACTCCGTGACCTTAAACAATGGGAATCGCGGATTCACTCCGTGACCTTAAACAATGGGAATCGCGGTATTCGCCTCCCGTGACCTTAAACAATGGGAATCGCGGATTCACTCCGTGACCTTAAACAATGGGAATTGCGGATTCACTCCGCTGACCTTAAAAAATGGGAATCGCGGATTCGCTCCGTGAACTTAAACAATGGGAATCGCGGATTCACTCCGTGACCTTAAACAGTGGGAATCGCGGATTTCACTCCGTGACCTTAAACAATGGGAATCGCGGATTCGCTCCGTGACCTTCAACAATGGGAATCGCGGATTCACTCCGTGACGTTAAACAATGGGAATCGCGGATTAACTCCGTGACCTTAAACAATGGGAATTGCGGATTCGCTCCGTGACCTTCAACAATGGGAATCGCGGATTCGCTCCGTGAACTTAAACAATGGGAATCGCGGATTCACTCCCTGACTTAAACAATGGGAATCGCGGATTCACTCCCTGACCTTAAACAATGGGAATCGCGTTTACGATGTCGGTAAGGCGCACAGCCGTTTCAATGCGCGCACATTTAAAACAAATCTAAGTGTTTGTGTTTCTCCCTTGTGATGGGACTTTGTAGGATGAACTTTGAGAGATTTATAATTGGCACGGGGTAACCAATACGGTCTGAGTTGGTCTGTAACAATGTCGCAGTGTAGTGTATAGTAGTGGTGTATAATAGTGTAGTGTATAGTGTAGTGTATAGTAGTGTGGTGTCTAGTAGTGTAGTGTATAGTAGTGTATAGTGTAGTGTATAGTAGTGTAGTGTATAGGAGTGTAGTGTATAGTGTAGTGTATAGTAGTGTAGTGTATAGTGTAGTGTAGTGTATAGTAGTGTAGTGTATAGTAGTGCATAGTAACTTTGTAGGATGAACTTTGAGATGTATAAGGGGCACGGTGGTGACTAATAAGTTCTTAATTGGTCTGTAACAAGGTAGTAGTGTCGTGTATAGTAGTGTATAGTGTAGTGTTTAGTGGCTTTGTAGGATGAACTTTGAGATGTATAAGGGGCACGGTGGTGACTAATAAGTTCTTAATTGGTCTGTAACAAGGTAGTAGTGTCGTGTATAGTAGTGTATAGTGTAGTGTTTAGTGGCTTTGTAGGATGAACGTTGATGTTTATAATGGGCACGTGGTGTCCAGTAAGTTCTGAATTGGTCTGTAACACGGTAGTATTGAAGTGTATAGTGTTTAGTGGCTTTGTAGGATGAACGTTGAGGTCAATAATGGGCACGTGGTGACAATAAATTATGAATTGGTCTGTAACAAGGTAGTATTGAAGTGTATAGTGTTTAGTGGCTTTTTTAGGATGAACGTTGAGGTTTATAATGGGCACGTGGTGTATCAATAAGTGCTTAATTGGTCTGTAACAAGGCTGGGCACTGATGACGCCTCGTCAGGCCTTGCGAATGGGTAACCTCGTGCGGGCGAATGGTGATGAACGTCGCCACCTGCGGAGAGACAAAGGCGGCTGGGGGCGTGCGTGCGTGCTTGCCCGCCACCGCCATCACCAGCCACGTGTTTCGTTTCCGCTTAGCAACAAGCCTCCCCCGGCTGTCCGGATAGGGGCAACATGGAGCGGATGAAGGCACCCACTTCGTGAATGGGCGCGTGTTGTTATCGTGGCGCGCGCGGGCGCGCGCGTGCGTGTGGTGAGCTCAAGGTGGCTTTCGTGAGCTACCCAATCGATGATCGGGATGTGTGCTGGGTTGTGTCGCGTGAACGTCAACGCGTCGATGAGCCCGCCCGCCTGGTGATGCCGCTCGTTGCGACTGGCGAGACGTCGTGCTCAAATTGTCAATGTGGTGGTGGTGGTGGTGTTGGTGGGGTTTCTCTCGAACACACAACCGGTGTAGTGCTGTATTTGTGTGCTACACTATACACTACGCTATACACTACGCTATACACTACGCTATACACTACACTAAACACTACACTAAACACTATACACGATACACTATACACGATACACTACACTATACACTACACTATACACTGCACTATACACTACACTAAACAATAGTACACTACATTATACACTACACTATAGACTAGTACACTACACTATACTATACACTACACTATACACTATACTATGCGCTAAAACACTACACTATACACTACACTATGCACTACACTATACACTACACTACACACTGTAACTATACACTACACTATAGACTACACTATACACTATACTATACACTGTACACTACACTATGCACTAGTACACTACACTATACACTACACACAAAACTACACTATACGCTACACACGACACTACACTATACACTACACTATACACTGCACACTACACTATACACTGCACACTACACTATACACTGCACACTACAGTATACACTAGTACACTACACTATACACTACACTATACACTACACTATACACAATACTATACACTAGTACACTACACTATACACTAGTACACTACACTATACACTACACTATACACTACACTATACACTACACTATACACTACACTATACACAATACTATACACTAATACACTACACTATACACAACACTATGAACTATACTATATGCTACACTATGCTTTACACTAGTACACTAGACTATTCACTAGACTATACACTACACTATACACTAGTACACTACACTATACACTACACTATACACTAGTACACTAGACTATACACTACACTATACACTAGTGCTGTACTAATATATTACACTAGTACACTACACTATACTCTACACTATACACTACACTATACACTATACTACACTACAATATACACTACACTATACACTAGTACACTACACTATACACTAGTACACTACACTATACACTACACTATACACTCGTGATGTACTAGTAACGAATTGGCCAAGGTTCTGTCTACGAGACGCAAAGCCTCTTACTGACTGGCTGGTGCAGGTGGTGGCGAGAATTCACCACTCAACATTTACACTTTCACGCTAACCTCCACATGGTGACCTTAGCCTCTCGGAGTTCACGACGCCACCGTCTTCCGTTGCTGAAGTGGTGCCGGCCACATCAACCCCAGTCAGCCACATCAACCCCAGCCACATCAACCACAGCCAGCCACATCAACCCCAGCCAGCCACATCAACCCCAGCCAGCCACATCAACCCCAGCCAGTCACATCAACCCCAGCCAGTCACATCAACCCCAGCCACATCAATCCCAGCCACATCAACCCCAGCCAGCCACATCAACCCCAGCCAGCCACATCAACCCCAGCCAGCCACATCAACCCCAGCCACATCAACCACAGCCACATCAACCACAGCCACATCAACCACAGCCACATCAACCACAGCCACATCAACCACAGCCACATCAACCACAGCCACATCAACCACAGCCACATCAACCACAGCCAGCCACATCAACCCCAGCCAGCCACATCAACCCCAGCCAGCCACATCAACCACAGCCAGCCACATCAACCCCAGCCAGTCACATCAACCCCAGCCAGCCACATCAACCCCAGCCAGTCACATCAACCCCAGCCAGTCACATCAACCCCAGCCAGTCACATCAACCCCAGCAAGTCACATCAACCCCAGCCACATCAACCCCAGCCAGTCACATCAACCCCAGCCAGACTGTAGGGGCAAGTGCTGTTAGCGAGCACCTATGAAGGCCGGAACGGTACACGAGGGGGTGGGTGGCCAGCACCACGCCCGACCGCCTTTGTCTCCGTAGTGGCAATGTTTACACACCGCACCGGGTACTCATTTGAGGCTGAATCGACCTAGGGGAGGCCCGGGACCGGTTCAGATAATCGTCACTGGTGTTGGTGGCCGTGAGCGGGAATCGAACCATGGTCGCCAGGTTCATAGCGCAGCGCGCTAACCGCTACACTATCGCTCCCTTGAAATGAGTTACCTGGGTGAGGCGCGTAAACATCGTCACTGGGGAGACAAAGGCGGCCGGGCGTGGTGCTGGTAGCCACCCACCCCCTCGTGTGCCACAGCGCCGGTAGCCCTCATAGGTGCTGCCCGCTAACAGCACTTGCCCCTGCAGTCTATTAGAGGCTACACGGGGGATCTTTGTCTGTGTCTACCTTCATAGGTTGCTGCTACTCGCTACTAACAGCACTTGCCCCAGCAGTCTGTAGAGGCTACACGGGGGACCTTTGTCTGTGTCTGCCTTCATTAGATAGTCGCTACGAACAGCACTTGCCCCAGCAGTCTGTAGAGGCTATCACGGGGGACCTTTGTCTGTGTCTACCTTCATAGCTGCTGCTGCTACTGGCTACTAACAGCACTTGCCCCAGCAGTCTGTAGAGGCTATCACGGGGGACCTTTGTCTGTGTCTACCTTCATAGCTGCTGCTGCTGCTGCTACTGGCTACTAACAGCACTTGCCCCTACAACCTGTAGAGGCTACACGGGGGGTCTTTGTGTCTCTCGATGCTGGTGTTGGAGGCGAGGGCGTGGCTCCGTTCCTGTGACGTCAGCACTCTCTTCAGTGAGTGTGGGTGATGGGCAAGTCGGGGTGGAGGTGTTGTGTGTGGAGTGTGTTGTGTGTGGGGTGTTCTTCGACTGTGTGTGTGTGTATCTTGGGGAGCGGTGGTGCAGCGGTTAGCGCTACGCTTGCGCTATGAACCTGGCGACCACACCCGGGTTCGATTCCCGCTCACGGCCAATACCGCCAGTGACGATTATCTGAACCGGTCCCGGGCCTCCCCTAGGTCGACTCAGCCTCAAATGAGTAGTACCTGGTGTAGCGGTGTGTAGTAAGCATCGTCACTAGGGAGACAAAGGCGGCCGGGCGTGGTGTTGGCACGCCCCTCGTGTGCATTGCCGGCCTTAATAGGTGCTCGCTAACAGCACTTGCCCCTACAGTCTGTTAAGGCTACACGGGGGGTCTTTGTCTTTGTGTCTTGGGTATGCGTGCACCAACTCACTTGGGTGGTTTTCACTGTGGTGCCTGGTCGAATATTTTTCATTTATTTTATTTATTTTCACCAGCAGGCCGGGTTGAAGGATCTGGACACAGTCCCATCGGTGAGCTCCTCCGGCTGACCGAGGCTGCGTTGATCGCAGAGGACTCACTCCGAATCAGTCGAGCGGCATTATATTTTCATCGGCTGCGTAACGCTGTGTTGAAGCTACCCGGTTTGTCGCTCCGCACGAAGCTTCGGGTCTTCTCGGCCACGGTCATTCCATCCCCTCTCTACGCTTGCGAAACGTGGACCCCCCCCCCCCCTAATGGAACATCGTCGCCGGTTAGAAACATTTAGGCTAGCCTGCCTACGATCCATCCTGGGTTTAACCTGCAGGCTGGATTGTGTGAGGAGCTCACAAATCCTTGAAAGATCTGGGCAAGGTCCCATCGGTGAGCTACTCCGGCGGGCAAGGCTGCGATGGCTGGGTCATGTAGCCCGCGTGCCCAGCCACCGCATGCCGAAACAGCTTTTGTTCGGCCGGATCGAGGGGGCTAAACGGGCGCGTCACGGGCTAGAGAAGAGATGGAGTGACGTGGTACAGGAGGACGTGGAGCTGAGTGGACTTGCCGATGACTGGTACCAGCGGTCTCAAGATCGGCCTCTGTGGAGGAGGAGGCTCGTGAAGGATATTACTGGGCAGTTGGAGGCAGTCGCCCTCCAACAACAACGGAGGGCGGAGGAGCGACGCTCACAACAACGAGCGGAGCGCCAGGCGTCTAAAGCGCAGCATGTTGGCACAGTAGGGGGCACAGGTGGTGGTGCAGTGTTGAGTTTACGGGCAGTGTTGAGTCTATGGGGCAGTGTTGAGTCTATGGGGCAGTGTTGAGTCGATTGTGCAGTGTTGAGTCTACGGTGCAGTGTTGAGTCTATGGTGCAGTGTTGAGTCTATGGTGCAGTGTTGAGTCTATGGGCATTGTTGAGTCTATGGTGCAGTGTTGAGTCTATGGGGCAGTGCTGAGTCTATGGGCAGTGTTGAGTCTATGGGCAGTGTTGAGTCTATGGTGCAGTGTTGAGTCTATGGGGCAGTGTTGAGTCTATGGTGCAGTGTTGAGTCTATGGTGCAGTGTTGAGTCTATGGTACAGTGTTGAGTCTATGGGCAGTGTTGAGTCTATGGGCAGTGCTGAGTCTATGGGCAGTGTTGAGTCTAAGGGTAGTGTTGAGTCAATGGTGCAGTGTTGAGTCTATGGTGCAGTGTTGAGTCTATGGTGCAGTGTTGAGTCTATGGTGCAGTGTTGAGTCTATGGTGCAGTGTTGAGTCTATGGGCAGTGTTGAGTCTATGGTGCAGTGTTGAGTCTATGGGCAGTGCTGAGTCTATGGTGCAGTGTTGAGTCTATGGGCAGTGTTGAGTCTATTGTGCAGTGCTGAGTCTATGGTGCAGTGTTGAGTCTATGGTGCAGTGCTGAGTCTATGGTGCAGTGCTGAGTCTATGGTGCAGTGTTGAGTCTATGGGGCAGTGCTGAGTCTATGGGCAGTGTTGAGTCTATGGGCAGTGTTGAGTCTATGGTACAGTGTTGAGTCTATGGTGCAGTGTTGAGTCTATGGTGCAGTGCTGAGTCTATGGTGCAGTGTTGAGTCTATGGTGCAGTGTTGAGTCTATGGGCAGTGCTGAGTCTATTGTGCAGTGTTGAGTCTATGGGGCAGTGCTGAGTCTATGGTGCAGTGCTGAGTCTATGGTGCAGTGTTGAGTCTATGGTGCAGTGTTGAGTCTATGGTGCAGTGTTGAGTCTATGGTGCAGTGCTGAGTCTATGGGCAGTGCTGAGTCTGTACGTTGAACTTCCTTCACGCCGTACGTAGCCAACCGCGCCAATCTGCGGGCGCGCGTGGTCGTGGATGGGTGTAAAGACAATGGGGGGAGGGGAGGGTGGGAGGGTGGCTGATCGATAACCGGGTGCGGTCGAGAGAGTGTGGGTGGCAGGGGGCGATGGTCCTCCACCTATCGATCAGCGGCGTTCGGCATCACAGCAGTGTTGATGGTCAGCGGCAGTGACCCTTCCCTAGCGCAGCGAGCTGACCCTTTCCCGGTGATCGCCGCTCGCTCCCGACCATAAATGACGTCACGCGATTTTGGACGATTTTTGACCCCCCCCTCAAATATGACGTCACAAAGCTCTGCCCCCTCCGCCCCCCCCCACACACAAAATAAAACCTGCTTCAAATCGCTTTAAACTATTGTTGTCATTCATATTCTTAGTTTTTTTCGGTAAAGTCACGTTGAAGGGAAACAACAAAATAATAAAAAATATATATAAAACAATAAAAAATTCTCACGACGTTTCGACCATAACACAAACGGTCATCTTCAGGTGTGTCGACCGTTTGAGTTATGGTCGAAACGTCGTGAGAATTTTTTTATTGTTTTATATATATTTTATTATTTTGTTGTTTCCCTTCAACGTGGTGACTTTACCGAAAAAACTAGGAAATATGAATTGCTGCAGTCACGAAAGCTTTAAATCAAAATTTATTGTTGTCATTGTTAGCGCGTATTTATTTGTGATGTTGCAGGAGAAAACATTTATTTTAAAAAAAAGTCTGTTTAATTAAGTAGGCTGTAGGTATTTGTTTATAAAGTTGCGCATTTTGACGTGACGTCACATTTCTCAAATTCCGCCCCGCCTCGCCCTCGTCACGTGACGTCACGCATCGTCACAAATGTCTGACCCCCAGGTGCGTGACGTCATTTACGGAAGACCCCCCCCCCTTAGCCGGAGGCTTGCGAAAGGATTTTTGCCTGCCTGGGTTAGGCGGTGGAATGTTGAATGGGGAATGGGGGTGGGTCGTGGTTGGGGTTACGTTTTTGTGGTTGTTGGTAGTAGGAGTCGCTTCGAAGCCGCTTAGCAGCGGCTTCCGTCATCCGACAGGCCCGGAGGGAGTCGAGCGGAAGTCTTTGTTGTTGGTGAATGTTTATGTTGCATCATCATCATCATCACGGTGGCTAGGAGATGTTGACTACCTCGCCAGGCACGCAGGAGGTTCGTGGGTTCAATCCCGACCCCAAAGCCTGAATATTTGGAGTTTGCGCGTCTCTCTCATCATCATCATCATCACGGTGGCTAGGAGATGTTGACTACCTCGCCTCGTTTACAGGAGGCCGTGGGTTCAATCCGACCCCAACGCCTGACTATTTGGAGTCTGTGTGTCTCTCTCTCATCATCATCACGGTGGCTAGGAGATGTTGACTACCTCGCCTGGCACGCAGGAGGTTCGTAGGTTCAATCCCGACCGCAAAGCCTGAATATTTGGAGTCTGCGCGTCTCTCATCATCATCATCATCACGGTGGCTAGGAGATGTTGACTACCTCGCCTGGCACGCAGGAGGTTCGTGGGTTCAATCCCGATCCCAAAGCCTGAATATTTGGAGTCTGCACGTCTCTCATCATCATCATCACGGTGGCTAGGAAATGTTGACTACCTCGCCTCGTTTACAGGAGGCCGTGGGTTCAATCCGACCCCAACGGCTGACTATTTGGAGTCTGTGTGTCTCTCTCTGATCATCATCATCACGGTAGCTAGGAGATGTTGACTACCTCGCATGGTATACAGGAGGCCGTGGGTTCAATCCCGACCCCAAAGCCTGAATATTTGGAGTCTGCACGTCTCTCATCATCATCATCACGGTGGCTAGGAGATGTTGACTACCTCGCCTCGTTTACAGGAGGCCGTGGGTTCAATCCTGACCCCAACGTCTGAATATTTGGAGTCTGCGTCTCTCTCTCATCATCATCACGGTGGCTAGGAGAATGTTGACTACCTCGCCTGGTCTACAGGAGGCCGTGGGTTCAATCCCGAGGTCAAAGCCTGAATATTTGGAGTCTGCGTGTCTCTCATCATCATCATCATCACAGTGGCTAGGAGATGTTGACTACCTCGCCTGGTCTACAGGAGGCCGTGGGTTCAATCCCGACCCCAGTGCCTGAATATTTGGAGTCTGCGCGTCTCTCATCATCATCATCACGGTGGCTAGGAGATGTTGACTACCTCGCCTGGTCTACAGGAGGCCGTGGGTTCAATCCCGACCCCAACGCCTGAATATTTGGAGTCTGCGTGTCTCTCATCATCATCACGGTGGCTAGGAGATGTTGACTGCCTCGCCTGGTCTACAGGAGGCCGTGGGTTCAATCCCGAGCCCAGTGCCTGAATATTTGGAGTCTGCGTGTCTCTATCTCCCCCCAGCCCATAGTCGTGTCTCGTTGCCTGCGAAAAAAAAACAAAAAAACGAACGAAAATCTGTTTGCCTATTAAGTTGTAAAGCCATACGCAATGTTGCCGTGCCACAAGCAACTCCTAGCCCCCCATTCCCCTTCCCCCCCCCCCCGTCTCCTACCCCCCCATTCCCCTTCCCCCCCCCCCCGTCTCCTACCCCCCCCCCATTCCCCTACCCCCCCCCCCCGTCTCCTACCCCCCCCGTCTCCTGCCCCCCATTCCCCTACCTCCCTACCCCCCCCTCCATTCCCCTACCCCCCCCGGTCTCCCCCCCCCCCCCCCCCCCGGTTCCCTACCCCCACCCCCTCTCTGTTAGGCCCCAACCTGTCGTGCCCAGTCACAGCGACGTCTCGTTCCCGTTCCTCCTCGTGCCGGTTCCCTACCACAACCCCTACCACTACCACAACCCCTACCACTACCACAACCCCTACCACTACCCCTACCACTGTCACTACCACTGTCACTACCCCTACCACTACCCCTACCACTGTCACTACCTTAACCCCTACCACTACCACTACCCCTATCACTGTCACTACCCCTACCACTGTCACTACCCCTACCACTGTCACTAACCCTACCACTACCCCTACCACTGTCACTACCCCTACCACTACTCCTACCACTACCACTGTCACTACCCCAACCCCTACCACTGTCACTACCCCTACCACTACCCCTACCACTACCACTGTCACTACCACAACCCCTACCACTACCCCTATCACTACCCCTATCACTACCCCTACCACTACCACTGTCACTACCCCAACCCCTACCACTGTCACTACCCCTACCACTACCCCTACCACTACCCCTATCACTACCCCTACCACTACCACTGTCACTACC